ATTCATACTCGTAAACTTCGCTTTAAAAACAAAAAAAAACACGAAAAGATATACAAATCAAAATCGATTCTCAATTCAAAATCACCACAAAATTCACTTCAATAGAATTCAACAACAACGTCACTAAAAAACAAAAAAAAGACGATTTAAATTTTAAATTTCAAAAAACGAATTCTAGAATATTGTAACAACATGGTCCAGGTGACGAGACTTGCACAATGGCCGGTCGTTAGGAGTCGCCGGTTCGCCAGCAATTTGCACCGGCACGGATTCTTTTAACAGAAGGCCATTGAAATACGCCAGGATTTTTAAAATTAAATTCTGAAGGAGTTTGCCTGAAGTTGTTTGGATGGACTACGATGGTGTATATTGACTATGATTTTGTTTACGAAACATCAGAACGCTTTGTGAGCCGGGAAAATTTTATTCTTCATTTTTATTTTATGCTTGTTGTCTTTTACATAAAATACACCGTGCTTCTCACTAAGCCCTTATATACTAATACAACTTATAGGAAATGGTCGAATTACATGTTATGGTTAGTTTTAAAAATGTCCTTTTTAAAAGATAGGCAATGTGTTTTTGTATTTGAATATGATACAGGATTCTTAGAAAATACTTTCTAGAAATCAAAGAAGATAAAAATTTTGAAGTTTATTATAAAACCTATATTTGTTCGAGGTTACAAAGTCAAAGTCAAAATCATTTATTCCAACTAAACCATAAATAGGTACTTTTGAAACGTCAAAATAGAAAAGTAGTCTGTCAGTTTGTTCGTCAGTGAAGCCAGGTGCTCATTCCAAATTGTAGATTCGAATGGAGAAGAACGAGCAAGAAACTCCATCGTCACTCTTTTTATAAGTACAAAAAAGTATTTAGTCAATGATTTATATAGGTACCTTCATTGTTTCGAAGACCGAATGAATTTAGTAAATCAATTGTACATATACAAAATAAAAATTACTCTCATTTTACATATTAATAAAATACATTACTGAAAAAACACGCAACCAACAACAAATATGTATACAAGACTAAAATATTCACCAAATAACTTTCAAACGCAAGTGAACCAAGCGATTTTGACCTTTAAACACTTAGTATAAAATTAATTATTAACAAATTACTTCATATTCACTTGTAACATTTTACTTCTGGACCATTAGTGAAGTCTGTTTACGATAATCGCATGCAGCGTTGAGAGCTTCCTCGCATTATAGAAAAATATTGTGTCCATACATATACGAAGTAAGGGTGCTTACATACGGTATGTATATGCATATGTATAGAAGCAGGTCGTTGGTACAATTACAGGCAGGCCGAACCGAACTTTCTTGGAAAAAAAAAAAAGAAGAAACGTGTCATAAAATGTTGCTTGTAAATTATAAGCCCCTAGCGTAACTTGAAACTTGTCGAGTTCATCAATGAAACAATGAACTTTATACGAGTAAAGGGCTACGCACTACTGTTACTCCATTGGTATTACAAGTATTCATGCCGACTGCTTACCATCAGGTGACATATGAGCTCATTTCCCGACTTACAGCTAAAAAATATGTTACAAGACCCCGGCTTGGTGCAGAAGAAGGAACGGAGAGGAGTTAGGAAGAGTGGGAGTCATGCTTCGGTACGAATGGACCCTAGCACCCTAACGCATCTAAGTGCACATGTGAAGGTAATTATCCCTTATATAGGAGTTTGTGAGGTAAGTAATATAATCGGAGAAAAGATGGCAAAGCTGTGATGATATGACAGAGCGTCTTATCTGTTGTCCCTTTGGCTAAAGTGAACAGTAAGACCAATGTTCACTTTCTAAGTGTAATATAGTTAATCTCTAAGTAATGGAACCTTATTACAACTAGTACTAGGTTTAATATTGTATCTACTTTATGTTTTATCTTGAAAATATCAGTTTTTTTTTTTTTTGGTGACGTCTTGTGTACAAAAGTAATATCAGAGGAACAAGAGATTTAATGTTTTATTTGAAGTTTTTTTGTTCAATTTCTGACTACACATTAGACTCGGTGCAACATATCGCATATGTATATGTGTGATCCACAAAATATTGTTCCGTATCAGGGTGTGATATGTATGTAAAATTGTGTGTATGTAAACGCATCCACGAACAACCACAGGACAGCCGGGGTCGCGGGGCAATCGTAATGAGGCACCGCAGAGTAAAAAGGAACAGGGGAGTTTTAAGTCAGAAAGAGTCTTGACACTCACTCTCGCCTTACCCTGGGTGGGAGAAGTAATTTGATGATTATACAAAATCCTTTCTAACGTTTTTTTTTTAACAATTAAAAATATAAGCATGGTCGTCTTATATATTTCTTTAACACTTCGTATGTCTCCATAGTATTCCTATTCTTGTGATTTGTAAAAGCACGCATAGAACGTGTACATAAATTATCTATACTAATATAACACAGAGGAAAAAACTATAATATGTAAGTTTGTTTAATAGGGATAATATTTGGAACCGGTGGTCGGATTTCCAACACTCTTTTCACAAAACATCAAACTACAATCAAATGGAGCTGTGCATCGCTCGAAGCGCAGATAATGTAGTCCACACAAGAAAATAATTTACAGTTACAACGTTAACTAATTAAAGATAAATAATTCAAAAGAAAATTCGGTCAGTCACTGGAAAATATTACAAAACAATCCCAAGAGGTTGGCCACACGATTCGATTCCGGAATAACAATATCTATGTAGGTATGTATGTATGATTATGCAGTTCTTTATTTTGTTCGATTTTGTGGCCATCATATAATACGTTGTATACTGATCACAGTACTGCAGTGATTTTCAAGCATTTTATGATCCCAATGGGCTGATGTTCAGCTAGGGTTGCGGGTCAACAGCAGAAAGCACGGGGTGGTTTTTAATCAGCAATTGGGTAGTTTCCTGGGTCAAAAATATATTAATTCGACGTTTTAATACGATAAAATATTGAAAAATAACTATACTTTTATTCATCGATCGATCGATACACTAAGTTTTAGATATTTTTTAGCTCATTTTTTAAAAATAAGTAAGCTATTTGACGCAAAAATGCTATGACGTCATAATTCAATGTTTCATACAATTTTCATAGAAAAGTATCGTTTTCGACATTTGGATAAAAGTATTGAATTTGACTAGTTGGAAACAGCCGTATTGTCTGACACTGCCTCTAAACCAGTTCGGGGTGAGAGAAGTTCTCTGATGATTTTGCCCTTCAAATAAAGGCATTTTTATGACTGTTTTCGACAAGTTAATATTGTCAATTTGTCAATACCAAAGATTCTTGTGTTTTTTTCTCTTCATTTTTTTAGGAACCTTTGTACATAGGTACATGGCAGTCCCATTGTACCTTATGATATAATACTTTGAAGACATTACAATACATAATTAATCTAAACTTAGTTCTATCATCTATCAGATAAAACGAAGACTTATGAAACTATACAATATCACGGCCGCATCATTAAGTGATTTTTAATTTATAGAGATAGTTGAAGGGCTGATGAAGACACAGACTACTTTTCGTCTATTTCTCATCATCTCCAATTTTATTTCAAATTCTCTTCTGTGTTCTCAATCAGTAAAAGCTTAACCAAAAATAACACGAGCGAAAAAAATAAGCCAACGACTTCACTACACTAGATAAGAACTTAATTCTGTAAGTACATACCTATAAGCCAAAAAAATCATTTAGTCCATAATAGATAGCATAAAATCTTAATAACAAAAAAAATATAGTCAATTATTTCTATCATTCATCAGAATCACCATCAGATGTGGCGTATCGCGGCAGAACGCCCCGCGACTAAACACACCACGCATAATGTGTCTATGTGTCTCTAACCATAGTAAATGAATGGGACCGGTAGCTTTCTTTCAACGAGCAACAATACAAAGATATATTCCCGCCTTAAAATTCGGTAATTTTTTTTTTTTTTCTTTCTTGTATGGCAACCGATTCGGTAAAAATATTACCATACCTACATTAACATAATCTGTCAAGCTAACATTTAATTTCTTTTTTTTCTTGTGTTGCAACTGAATTTGTGTCGAGTAGTGACTGCAAATTATAATAGACCCGTAGATTTTTTACTTTATGATGGTGTTCTTAGTAGCTTGAAGAATAAAACGTTTGGATTAGTACGACTATAGCCACTTATTCTAAATTTATTTTAAATATGAGGATAGACAAGAGGATGTACACAACTGTCACATACTCATAAACAATAAAAACTTTACTTATCTGTGGCCTAACAAAAATAAAGTATCAAAATAATTCAAGAAGTACCCGCCACTGTTATAACAAAAACATTCACTTCGTACATACTCCGGCCGCGGACAAGACATTCGAATATTTAAAAAAGGAAAATGTCATGACGAGAATCGAAGTCACTTGATGGCAATATAAATTCAATTTTGAATTAAAAAAAACAAAGCCTGCGTTAGCAACAAAAACATCAAATTAAAACCAAAACACTACAAAAAAGGTAAGCTAATATTTTGTTTATTTTTTAACTTAGAATACTCAACCTTATACAGCGTAAAATTTAGGATTATTTTACATTGTGCATGATTTATAATCGTTTTAGTTTGTGTATTTTTCCGGTTTTATCCATGTAGGTTGTATTGTACCTATTATGAACTTTTTTAATGAATACAATTCTATAGTGTAGTATTTTTAACAATCATAGTTAAATAGTATGCTAGCCTACATTTGAAATAACAAAATATATTTTGTTACGATTAAATAACACTTAATTGATGTAATCGTATTCAGCAAATATAAAGTAAAATGGTACACCTCATAAAACAATTATAATCCGTGGTCAATTAATTGCATCGTCCCCATAATCCAATCAAATCCTAATTTATTACGTTCGCACTTTCCAAATTTTCAATTTGGTCACAATAAATATTTGTATTATTGTTATTTAAATCCTTTGGGATTATCAACTAATTAACGAAATTAAATTTCAGGTTTGTTGCAATGGCGCTTACATTGGCAGACGTAAATAAACTGATGAATCATGAAACTATATCGGAGATCACCGCCATGTCGAAATTAAATCCGTGTTGCTTGAGCAAAATAAAGAATGTGGCGATGAAGAAACTAGCTCACACACAGTTAGTACTCACAGTGAATAATAAAAATGTAAATAATAATACATCTTGTTCAGGGCTTTGCAATAAGGAAATATTAACAATACCAGTTTCTATACCAAACACTCCGGTGTTAGCTCCAGCTTTCCACAATGATGAGCTTAAATCCTTAGCCAAGAACCAGCCGTACATCAGTAATTCCCTAAACATACCTGCATTCGCAAATGCTTTGCCAGCTATTGTACCGAATCCAGTTACATTATATGGCCAACCCATCTATCCTCTTGCTGGGCCAGTAATTCAACCTCTCGTTACACCAATAATCCCTCAAGTAGCCATCCAACAAAATGTTTCAAATATATCGGATGTGAGCAGTGATTATTATGTTTCTGAACAGCAAGTGGCGGATGCTATGGATATATATAATGACGAAACATTTATGCAAGACAAATTATATGAAGAGCTGGAACCAACAAATGCTGGTCATCAAATGGATACTAGTTGCAAAGAAGGAGTTGGCGACCCTCTCGAAGTGTATTTAAGTCTGCCAAAGACAATATTTCCAAGTGCCAATATGCTTGCTATTGATCCAAATCCAATTATAGATGAATTTTGTAAAATGCCTAATATGCAGCGTCATGCACCGTGGTTGTTGGACCTGGAATTTGGTATACCAAAAACTGTTGTAACTCGTCCTTTACCTGTTTATAATGTGAAATTAAATAGTATTAATTGCAAGAATACTCCGGACGCTATACACCCAGGCTTTGAGAGTTGTTATCCAGATTTTAAAAGGGTTATACTATTTTATTATGATTGTGTGGTGTCAGCTTGGTACAGAGGATATATGACGATAACTTCAGATAGGTCAGTGGAGAACTTTCAGAGCTGGTTGCTACTACCGATGCAGGTTCTAGGGATGTGTTGGCCTTAATGCATGCTGCATGTTATGTGTCATCATCTTCTTCCCCATTCAGCTCAGATTCTGTTGCTGCTGGGCGAAAGCTAAACCCTTTAATTGTCATATGTTTTGTATTAACATAAGTTTTGAGAATAAGATTTGAATTATCTTGGTATAGCTGGAATGATTTTTGTTTGAATAAATTCTCGATGTTATTTTTTTTTTATTTGGTTGTATACAATCAGAGTACGTATTTCAATGTTTCGCATTTTACAAACATTTTGCGGTTTCAATAATTCTTTGCACCAAAATTATATACCTGACTACAAACACAAATGCATAGGTATACAATATTAGGCTTTTTTTTCAAAAAATGTGAAGGGAAAATCTTCAAATGACTTCTCCCGACCGGCCCTGGGCGGGACTACACTGTTAATGACTAAAAACCCACCTGTTCCTTCTCCTGCTCTGGGCCGAGGTCGCGGTGCCTCATTGCGCTTACCCCGCAACCCCGGATATAATATTAGGTAATCACCTGCACCTTTCATTGTTTTTATATCGCAAATATACTTCGCTTATTTTATTAATAATTTTGCTGTTGGTTAGTGGGAGTGAGACCAACCATATATGTTGCAAGAAAATTAATAATAACTGTAGCAGCATTTACTTTTCCATATTATAAACCGTTTTATAATTGACATAAGATTTTTGGCAGGGAACAAAATCTTCATTTATAAAAATTCACAAAATATTTGTTAATTTAGAGCCGATATGAGTTCACCAGGTCACCGTGTGAATAATTAAAATCTTGCCATCTTCATAGGAAAGAACACTTAATCCCCAAAATCACAGTAAAACGCCGCGGTGTGAAACTTTTAATTTAAAACCAGGGCAATCCCATTTTACCTTCTGCCTTCCAGAGTTGATTGTACGATGTTCTAACCGCATTCTCTCATCAAAATCTGACCCAAATTTAAGATCCCTAATGACTCCGTGGCAAGTTGTGGGCACAACTGGCTCGGGAATTCAATTCACGCCCGTTCTTTGTTTATTGACATTGACTAAGTTTGCGAATTCTTTGAGGTAATCAACTAGATTTTAGGAATTTCGATTTAGAATTTAGTTTTTTGTTCGTTCACTAAATTATTTATTTTTCTATTGGGTTTTCTATTATTTCAGCGAAGAGCATTTGCATGTGCGATTATGATAACTAAAAACTAATTTTAATACACTCTTTGTGGGTCTCTAGGCTAGCTCTCAGGTGTAAGTACATTGATTGGAAGTTATACTTATTTCAACAGCAACACAAGAATAAAGTAGAGCATTTAACATTATACACATAAATATGTGTGGGAGAGCCATGCTTCGGCACGAATGGGTCCATTCGACCGGAGTGATATCACGGCCTCGCAGAAAACCGGCGTGAAACAACCACAACGTTGTGTTTCGTCGTGTGAGTGAGTTCACCGGAGGCCCAATCCTTCCCATCCCAAATCCCTAATCCCAAAAGGTCGGCAACGCACTCGTAATTCTGTCCGTCTGCTCGTTTGCAGACCTATCACTTAAAAAAAACTACCAAACAATAAAATAAAAAAATAAAAATAAAAATAGAATGGTAAATCTCTAAATAGAATGGCTGACTCTCTCTCTCTCTCTCTCTCTCTCTCGCACTCAGCCCATCCAGAGTAGGAGAAGTAATTTTATGAATTCAAAAGACAGGCATTCAAAATTATTGTCCTTCACCATGTGATGCGCCCTCATCACACTAAGGAAAATAAAACAATTAATAAAAAAATATCTCAATATTTTAATAATTATTAACAATTATATTATTGTGAAAACAATCAACGGCATCATAAACTATCATTTAATAAAATCGCAATAGTCAAACTAAATGAAAACAAACATCACTGAAGAGTCGAAATTTACTAAATGCAGTACAACAATCCGCGATTTGGTAATATTCACATTCGTCCCCTTTGTTTATAACAAGTTAATTAATATAAAATTTACAAAAATATTCATAATCATAACTATTATACGTATAAAAGAGAATGTCAGATTCGAAGTTATCTTTTAATTAGCTAACGAAGTGGCAATACTTGACTGAGATGTACCTACAAGTGTTTACATTATAAATGTTTATTCTCATAAAAATGGTAACGTTTTACAAAACTTCTCATAGCTTTTTGAATTATCTTCCATAAACATTTAATTTGGAGTAAAAAGATTGTGACTCCAAACAGATAATAAAGGAATTAAATATTAAAGAAACACAAAAATAAAATCATTAAAATCTGCCAAGAATAGCAAAACTAAGCCATGACCTGTGCTGAAAGCCAAATTCCTTTTAAACGCTAATTCAAAGAATACAATTAATTAGATCAATGGATTAAGGTTTTTAATTTTCTGCAAACAAAATCAAAACTGTGGCTTTACTTTAGTTTCTAAAAAAAATAAATTTCGTTTAAAATCATCACCATAACTTCTTCAAGACATCCCACTTCGTCATCTAATTGTATAAACACTCTGGCTTCTAAGGAACTAAAACAAATACGGATAATATTTACAAAACGTGTTATTCCATTGCAAATGCCGGGGAAAGCAAATAATACTGTATTATTAGTACAACCTTAATTAAACGGCAAGATACATACGTATATAAATATTTACACATTTGAGCATACAGAGCCTTAGGATAAATTAAACTAATAAAGATAAAAATGATCTTAAAATTGATTGTATTTACATAGAATTGTTTCAAGTGCATAAGGCGAAGTAGTCGTACATACTTGACGGTGATCTTTTAATACATATTCAACTATTTGGTTAAACAGACACATACCTTCAAAGGCCTGCACGATATTTTCCCTTAAATATTTTCAAAGTCAATTAATGAGTCAAAAAATCTTTAGGCTATACCAGAGAAAACTACAGAAAAATAAATAGTACACTAGAAAGTACAATCAACAATTCCTGAAGCTAATCTTCATCCTTCTAATACGTACAAACCAAATAAGCATTTGGCCGGAAAGGCAGGAATAGTTACTTCGACACAGAACGGCAACATTTACCATTCCAATTTGCCTAAGGCTCATCACGGAACGTCGAATTACCTGCGTTTGGTCGCTACCTAAGTGAATTTCCGTTTGGAACATTCATAATTGGACTTAACACATTCCATACTTCCGTTGATTCTGGAATCATTGAATATGCAGTAAGATCACCGTCATTATATACACATGATGGGTTCTACAACCTCAAAGCAGTCATCAGGGCGTTTATTGTGAAGCTTAAAAATATCACCAGGTTAGAGCTCCGGTGAAGGTGTTGATGCAGAATCTCGCCATCGCGAGTTCTGCAAGCTCCTGGCGAGATATTCATAACTAAACGCCTCAGAAAACGTTGAATCAAATCAACATTTTTGAAGGTAACTTATTCTGCACTTGTCACAAATTCGTTTCGTGTCTTTGTTTCACTGTACATCACTATGTCACTTTCCACCTTCCACTTTGCAGCACCAAGTGCTTCGGTCTAAGAGTTAACCGTTTGTAGAATCCATGGGACGAACTTCGATATCCTGGTGCAAACTCCTGGTAAGTTCGCTTCGCCGCAACCGATACCCCAACTGATGATTCCGGCTAGGAAATATTTCTGATCTTTGCCTTTGACCTGCAATGAAGAAAATTTATTAGAAAGCGATAGATAGAATAAAAAAATGAAAACTACGGGACAATTCTAAAAAAAATAAGTTTCTTTTGAACTACCTATTCTAATTATAAAATTAATAGCTTTTAATGAAAGCAAAAGTTTTTGGTCCCAAAATACATTTCAGTCTTCGTCAGCGAGCTTCACTTCAAGCGAAACTTTTTAAATTTATTCAAGTACAAGGCGTTAATTATTTACTTGTTCCTAAGCCTGTACATGTTTAGCGAAGATTCCAGAAGACCGAAGTAAAGTTTCGCTGAAGATTTTGTTTAATGAGGATCCGAAACTTGAAGTGAACTATTTCTTGGAACCTGTAATGCTATTCTTGAAAGTTTTGAGCGCTTCGGATTCGTTATACTTACCTAGTTTTACTTGTAACTGGCACGTAAAATTGTCGGGATTTCATAGAACGATTGTTCATTGCGAAATATCCCTGAGTAGTTGAAATTAAGGGACATAGCAAAAGTTGGAAGGGCTAATCAACATTTAACTAGTAATTTTGCGGCTAGGAGTGGTTCATGATTGTTATAATATGAAGTTTCAATGGGATAATGTGCTTGCCGGAAACTTGATAGGATAGAATGAACCTCACATTACTAATAAATAGCACATTCATTAATCTTTAACCCAACTTATTTTCTTCGTTTTATGACACTTATTTCTTCCTTAGACTTTTTATTGTAATAGATATTCAAATATAATTTTTTTTTATTGAAAATGACGACTTACACGCGGATTAAATGCACATGCAACACGCGCGGCGAAAAGCAGCCGACTGTCGGCTCTGTGACGTGCAAGCTGCTCATGAATAAGAGTCCAATTGTGACTTGGACCTCTCCTCAATTAATTCACTTGAGTAAGTCGTGACTTTTGTCAAATTTAGTATGTCTCACGTAAGTATGATGATGTATGATTATTACCTGCAATGGTCCTCCAGAGTCTCCCTGACAAGAGTCGTGACCTCCCCTCTCGTGGCCAGCACACAAAAAGATGTCTGGAATAAACTCGTGCCTTCCAGCTCTCAGGAACATCGATTTACATCGCTCGTTCGATACTATAGGTACTTGCACCTAAAGGAAAATGTTTCAATTGTTTATATAAGGTCTCCATTAGGTGTCAAATTGGGCGAGTACATTACATAATTTTGCTTCCCAAAAAACGACAATGTGTCTGGCATAGTCCAATATATTTTTTCTGTTAAGTAATAATCCACGTGTAAAGCAGTGTGAATCTATTGCCAAGCATTTTATGTAATTTAGTATATAAATGTCTTAGAAATCTACTAGTAGCTTTTGTTTCAACTAAAAGTGAGTCCGTCTGCAGTAGCTATATAAAGAAGCATACTGTTTCTATTTTTTATAAACTTATAAAACTACTAGCTACTTTTGCGCGGTTTCACCCACTGCTTGGCAGGTGGCTCCTACAGGTACGCAGCGTGATGCTTTATAGCCTAAAGCCTTCCTCAATAGTTAGTCTATTAAATACAAAAATATTTTTTTAATTCGAACCACTAGTGCCTGAGATTATAATATTAGTATAGATTATTACCTCTTGAAGAACCGACGGCAGCACACCACCTTCAGATAATCTTCCCCATCCAGTAACTGTAGCGTTTTCTCCTACTAACAGGTCATCTGTCGCTGGCAGACATATTGGAGATATATGAGGGGCAAACTGAACTGGAGCTTCCAACTTCACCAAAGCCAAATCATACTCATAAGTATAGTAATTATATTTTGGATGTACTGCTTTCCTTGCTACACCACTTTCTACAAATGGGTATTCTTCTGATACAGAGGAGAAGTCATATTCACCAACTCGGATCCTTATTTGTGATGTCAGGAGACTGAAATTGAAGAAAAGAATTTGGTTATTAATTATTTAGAAATGTCGTACTTCATGTTGTGATATAAGTATATCAAAAACAGATTAACAATGTTATAACCACTTCAAGGTGGTCATAAAAATAATAATTGTTTAGAGTTAGTTCTGGTACCCTGGAAGTTGAACAAGGAAACAGCATTAAAACCCAGCAAGTCCCAGAGATACTTTTCCAACTTACATGTACTTTCTAAGATTATTTAGACTCTACTGACATGTTCTAAAGGTAGGAAATCGGAACTCACAATTTTAAATCATAAGTTTGAAATTTCAGCAAACATGGTGATTATAATATAATTGCTCAAACATTTTCCATGGGAGAAGAGGCCTTAATGCTCAGCAGTGGGAACTTTTGTAATGATAAGAGTTTATACCAAATATTGTTGCAATTGATATGTCTAATGGTATACTGTAGATGTATAGTCATGAAAATATTCATAACGAGCAAAAACCTATCTTTTCACAGTACCTATACATAACATAAGAAATACTTTCTACACCTATTCTTCTTTTTGGCTTATATTGTCGTTACAACTAATTACAACGACCTTTTGCAGTTGCATTTAGAACACATAAAGGCAAAGAGAAACACAAATGACACATCAGGCCAAACTTGTATATACGCTGTTGTATGGTTCCATTTAGCCATTGTGTGTAGAAGCCATTAAAACTCGCTCAGAACGACAGACGGTTCCGCCTTAATTCCCACAAAACCAACACGTTCGCAGAACGTCATTTCGTTTTAAGGGTAAAACTGGAAAAGGCTCCTCTCTAGTTGCAGGAAGCCTTACCTGCATTGTCTCTTTTAAAATGGAGTATTTCAACCACATTCTCTAATTGAAGTTTCCAGAAAATTGTGTCATGCAACAAAAACACCTATTATTCTATTTACTTTTTCTGTTTACCTATTTCAACAGGTCTTTTTAAATTTGTGATAGGATTATTTTTTATAGATCAAGAAAAATTACACCAACAGCATTGAGAATTTCTCTTGTTTCATTGAACGTTTTCAGCGTTTCTAACTTGGAACGTTTTATCTAAATCAGAAGCGAAAGCCATTTCTTTCAACATTTAAAATATACGAGGATTAAATAAATTCTACCACTATGTCTCGTAGGTTCAGACCATTCATTGGTCTAGTCTAGTCACTAAAAAAGCTATTCGACGACTTAAATATAAATCTCGAGGCTACTAAATACTTATCGTGGTCGTAAAAAAAGTTTATTTATCTTTGCGGCCAAACATAAAGTTGCTGTTCTAAAATTTTGCAAAACCTTCTTACTTCTGTACAAGACAGAGTCCATTAAAGATACTTCGTTTTAATTCCCCTTTTTACGATGTTTAGACTGTTCCCTTTACTTTGTTTTTACAGTAATCTACTTACGGCGAGATGGGAAATATAAAAAATAAATGAAAAGGAGCCCGTCCGTCTGTCTATATGAATGCGGTAATCTTCGGATTACTAGATGGATTCTGATAAAACATTTCTCAGGAAGACTTAAGATGTTTAAGACTTTTTTGTGATAAAAAGGAGGGAGGAATGCGAATTACGAAATTGTGGCCAGTTTATTTAAAGCTGTCTATCCTTTAAGGCCGCAGTTCTGTGAAGTATTAACGCTTAGTGCTTTGTTGCTAATGTTGAGCCCTTGATTTCTTTTGGACTAATTAAACTGTGTAGAATTACTTATGTTAACAATAATTTGGTTTAATTATTCTCTTAGTTATTATTTTTTACCTTGATATAATGAGAGGGAGTACTGATATTGTGTACGGAAAAAAATATTAGAATATTAAATCGTGCTTTTTTTATTTCCGAATTCTCATTTAGTCTTTCTCCACCAAGATGTAATGTAAAAGCTGGAGAATTGCCAGTTCAATTTTTTACCTGATTTCTTTTAAAACGTAGAGTACTGTCAAGTTACTGAAACTATAATATTTATTTGCAGAAAAAGGTATGTCATTATTCATTACGACTAATAAATAAAAAGGATTAAAAGGACGATTTAAATTGTTTTGCAATTATAAGTATATTATATACAGATTTCCGATTCTACCCAATCATCTACAGCCTTAAATACCTTATTACGTATAGCTCAAAAAATTCAATATATCTTGGTAGTTCGTTTATTATCAGCCGATAAGTATCCCAAACTGAGCAAATACCACTTCTAACACAGAGGAAAATAAGCTTAATCATCAGATTGTCTCAAGGTGGATTAGGGATTTTTAACATATACATATAATTAGAACTAAAAATCGAGGTTCGCTCATGCATCAAATTCTAGATTGACTTCTTATGTTTGTGTCAGAAGTGGCTCAAAAAACTTAAACTTGAAAAATTACGTAATATAGATAAGTTGTAAAAAGTGTCATTTTATTAGTCTCACTTTGAACCCGCATCCTCACTCATGACAAGCGTGAAGCAGACTCGTCACCCTCTGGATCACCATGCCATACTTAATGACAAAAAGATAAATATTATAGTTTTTACAACTTACTCATCAACACAGTGACCAGCAGTAGCAATCCAGCCTTCGTTGATGATGGCGCCTCCACATCGATGCGTTGATGAGAAGCCAAAGTAGGAGGTTCTTCTCACAGACACCTGCCACGGCCAGCGACCGAAGCTGGAGTCCTTACCACCCATGATCCTCGACTCTGGACGTGGCCACATGGCTGTTAGACCACATTCTAAAAAAGAAGAAATTTGTTACACTTTTACCTTGACATAATTGTTTTTTTTTTTATGGCATAGGTCGGCAAACTTGCTGTTACGTATGCGTTGCCGACCTTTTGGGGATTAGGGAGGGGAAAGATTTGAGTAACCGGTAAATAGTAAACCGGTAACCTCACTCACACGGCGAAACACAACGCTGTGGTTGCTTCACTTCGGTTTTCTGTTAAACCGTGGTATGACTCCGGCCAAAATACACCTAATACTTTGATGATTACATAACACGTTGTTATGATGATCAAAAAGAACATTCTACAAGGAAAATATTCCAAAAAGCTCCTGCTCATTTTTCTGATTCCACTACATAGGTACAACTAGGAGATAAACATAAATTATGATACCCATTCAAATGTAAGTGTCGGAGTGAAACATATTTCCTCTGCATCTGAGTGCAGGAGCAAGGTCGAGATACTGCAGATGGAATTATCTAAATGCATTACGAAAATGGTATCTCAATAATAAATTACATTGGAGCTGTGGAAACGATAAAAAGTTTCAAGTACTATTTAATGGCACTTATAATATAATGCATTTAATGTAGGTAAGGGTTCCTAACGGCCTCAAAGATTTGTGAGCTGAATGTACATTTGGGTCGACTCTATGTAATTTGCATTTGGTCATTTTAATTCTGTGGCTGGCTAAATGGCTTTTAACCCTGGGAAGGAATTCATTGTTTGCGTGGATTTAGAGGGGGATTTTAATAAGGGTTTAGTTGTGATAATGAGGCTGCCATGCCTATTTTACTGAGTAAATGATGGAGTACAATAAAGCTGGGGTTCATTTTATGTGATGAAATGTTATAATAACAAAAAATATGGACTTGTTACCGATAATTTAACAGGATGCCAGAATAAGAAGAGGGAACAGAATTGTTATTTATGTTCTAAAAAGTAGTCCATTAAGAAAAATGTACAATTCTTGCTCATTTACCTAAACCAAAATGAGGAACTTACTAGTGCTTATTCTTTCCTGGTATTGAACACATAAACAACCAGCATATGTGAGCAACTAACTAGTCCATAAATATTTTTTGGAAATATCTGCTCAGATAAATGGGAGGAAAAAAACGAAATAACTTAAAGAAACGTATTAATATAATACATTAACCCTCAATTTCATTCATTCATTCAACCAAATCTTATTCGATTTTTGAATCCTTTGTGGATCACTCAAAGAGTTGTTTCGTGCCCAGCCACCGTATCTATCAACCATGCAATCGAATACTCACAGATTGTGTGTAGTTACTAAAAAATGAAACTTACCAACAGTATTAGTAGCTGCCGTAGTCTGAATTGGCGCTGAAGTGGATTCTTCAGTCCTGTTAATCATGTTGGACGCTGGGTCTTTCGGCTTGTTGTAGTTCTTGTGTGGTTTACTTGTCGTTGTTGTGAACTTCTTTGTAGGCTTTGGTTTGCCTGCTGGCTTCTCCCAAGAAGGTCGAGGCTTCGTGATAAACGTTGGTTCTGTTGTCGCCTGCCAGTGGATTGTGTTCAGATTGCTTGGCCTTGAGATGAATTGACCTGGAATTTGGGGAGTTTGGTTAGTGCTGTTTTTATTGTTAAATTGAATTTCGAATCTACAATTTGGAATGAGCAGCTAGCTTCACTGACGAACAGACTGAGAGACTACTATTCTATTTTGTTGTTTCAAAAGTAGCTACCTATTTATGATTTAGTTGGAATAAATGATTTTGACTTTGACTTTGATTGTAAGAGTTCCAATAAATAGGAACTATCGACACGGTAGGGCAAAAGTCATGTTTACATGCTGCTTCTATTTAAACCATTTAAGCAGTTTTGAACTTCGTCCGATCCGAATTCGATCCGAAACCGTGAAAATTTGGTACGTTACAGCCATACAACTATTTCTATAGAAGTATATCATTCAGGTTTATTCCTTTATCCGATTTTTCAAGGAATAACAGAGTTTTGTCAGATTCGGATCAAATTCGATTCAAAGAATTTTTATTTCTCAAAAAAGTACAAATTCGGTTCAGTTGTATAAAAAACAATAAACATTATTATTATTTTTAATTCAATGCTAGATCGGAGTAACCTAATGAAGTGTACCTAGGTGCAAGATATTTTCGTATTTATTTACATATTCTTCTAATTTCTTTTTAAGTCTTCTAAGACTGGTTAATGTAAGTAAGTGAAACCATTTATTATTTTTTTGAATATGGACACAATAATACATAACATATTTTTTTCAACAACAAAGTAACTGACCATTCCATATTGAGATTTCCAGTACGTATAATTTGGGATATTAGTGCAACTTTTGGAATTCTGAATGCAGTTCCTAAATTTAAAACAATCATTTACAAACTTGGCATTTAAGCTGTTGAAAAACATACATTATTTGAGATTATTATATTTGTTATCTATATTAATAAAAGCGACATCTAGTAGGGAACTTTTTAATTACAATGAACCGGTTACTTCGTTGTAGAATTTAGAATGCTAAGTTCCAACGCTTGAACCTTTAAGTTTGACACCCCTCTAATAGATGGCAGCACAGCGAAATGTTAGCTAGTTTCTTAAGTTTTCAAATTATAGGTGCCTGGAGAACATATTCTTTTTGGATAAACTTGAACAATGTTTAATATACAACCAATTAATTAGCAATGACTATGAAACGTTATCTCATAAAGAAATAATGTCTAAAAAAACATTGTTTTCTAAGGTTACTGAAATAGTTTATCTTTTTAGCTTGAAACGTAACTTACTGTATTCTGTAGGTATACTTTCGTACGTTTTATAAGTTGTATGCTATAGCTACCTACTTTCGTATTATATTTTAAACACTTAATTTAGTATAATTTAATTAAAATAATAGTTACCTGAGTTGATGCTGTTATCAGAATGTTGTTCCGACACGGCCATCGGCCGCGCTCCAGGTAATATACTAAGACTAGACGAAATCTTATTGTGGGGACTAGTTTCCGCTTCACTGTTCGGCCTATTTACATTTTGGTATTTATTTACACTGTTATAAGGTATTTTATTAACTATATCACTATTTTGTTCGCTACTTGAATCTAAATTTCCTAATGAAGGTAAGTTTATTTCTGGCGGGCGGTAGCTGTACGACGTGGGTGCGCCATCTATTGGTTTGGTCATGAACGACGGCCGCTGTGTTTGCCAGTTCGGCCGCGAAATGGTTTGTGTTGATGTCTCTGGAGGTTGTGTTGTAGTGTGCACCGTACTAGATGGCGTTGAGTACGTCTTCTCAGTTACTGTGACTGGAGGTGCCGCTTCTGAAAATATTAAGATGACATTTTAACATTTTTCATTTACATTAATTTTTAAAAACATTATTATGCAAATTCAACAGTAAAAAATTACGTTATTTTACATTAGCTCCTATAATACTATCTAGATGGCGGTACTGATAGGAACTTTATGGTACCAACATAGCGTTCGAAATTGAAATAAAATATTATAACTTTTTTCGACTTTGACTAATTGATTTAATTTGTAAATAAAGATATTATTTCTCAAATGCATTATAATAATGCAAAAAGATAAACTTCGATATTAAATAATTAAAAGAATATTTTTACTATCAATAATGACGATGATATTTTATTAATTCGATAAAGTTGATATTTGTTAGTTGATATTTTATTAAGTCGATAAAGTAGCACCTTATTTGCGAAACAATACTAACCAAACATTAAAATTACAAAAACCTATATAAGAGAACGCTGTTCCTCTTCCTTATAATCTTTATAGATCTACGCAATCGATTACCAATGATTGCTAAATATTTTTTTAACCGACCTTCCAAACCTACTGCGGTTCCTGTCAGCCAAGATCTACCTACAGCGAAAACAACCATGAAAACACCGAAACAAAGAAGTTCAGTATATTGGTGATCATTTATCTATACTTATATTATAAAGAGGTAAAATTTGTAAGATTGTATGTCGGATTGCCAAAATTTTTTCATCACGCTACGATCAAATGGAGCTGAGCAGCGGGTGAAACCGCGCGAGAATAGCTAGTTTGCTATAAAAGACATTTATTAGTAGATATCATTGTAGCTTGAGAAGAATAGGAATAGTTAAAACAGAAAACTTCATTTTTTACATGATAGGTCGTCAAATGAGCAGACGGATTATTCTGGCAATCACACCAAAAGACACTCGTTATACCAAAGGAGTTACTACAAGTGCGATGCTGGCCTTTTCTGAGTTATAAAGTAATTTATTAATTCCCCTTCCAGGCTTCCAGTAACCACACTCACATGGAAAAACTCAACGTGAGTATAATTTTACGTCGGTATTCCGTGAGGCCCTTCGAGTTTTTCCAACACGGTGCAGCGTCTTATCAAAGTCCACCTACCTTCCACTTGCACAGGTTTGTCTGGCAGTCGACAGCAGGAACCGAACATGAAACCATCGACGCAAACTCCAGCGTGCGTCCCCCCAACTCTGTTGCACTCCTGCACCCACATGCATGCGCCGCGCGCGCCCCCCGCCACGCACGACTTGCGTGACATTTGGTAACCTGGAGATAAAGAAATCTAATAATAAAGATAATAATAAAATTATGGTGTTATAAGTGAATGGTGAAGTGAATGCTGATCTAAGAGAGGTTAATCAAGAAATGGTGTAGATTGATAAGTTAGTGTGTGCATGTGCGGATGATGAAAAAGTTTGTAAATTTAAAGATAGTGCCCGAGTTGGGAGGATACCAAATAGTGTTGAAGAGACTAAATTTTAATAGAATGCCCCTTACAAATTTTGTGCAGCTGGTGCTTGGCTTATCGGCAAAGAAAAAGAAGAAGAAGAAGACAAGAAAACCTTAAGAACGATTGCACTAAGTCCAAATAATTTCATAAAAATGGTTCTAAGACATAATTTTTAGGTACAGGAACAATACAACGTTTACTATCGCCTAGATTTCAAAGCCTTTAACAAACCAACCACTGTTTCCAACAACAGCCCACCAACACATAAGCAATTTCTAAAAATACCAAACAACAATGCCTTTCAAGAAGGAAACACGCTAAACACTTCGCACTTACCGTTAAAATAGCCTAACTAAATGCATTGTCTATATTCTATTCTATTTTGCTAAAATATTCTATTTATGGCTTGCAGAGGTATGGACAATCTAATCTGCTAGTCGGTTGCACGTTTCGTTACCACCCATTGTACTAAATCATTTCGGAGGGGTGAGGGGTACCAATAAATTTACAAGTGGTGGACTACAAACGGTGCGCCGAAGGCGGTATTTGATCCATCTGCGTAGCTTTTGTTGGGTAGGTGGTATTGCAGAAGGTTCAGTTAGGTACGTGCTTGAATTGTATGCTACTTGTGAGTGGTGAAAAACGATAGCAGCAAAGCGACTGTGGTAAGTGAATGTGAAATGGAAACTTATAAAATTTTAATTGATAATTTTTCAATTTTCAGTAATAAGAAGAATATAAAAATGATTGAGAAATAAAGGAGAGAAAAAAAGGAGGAGGAGAACAATAATAATAAGCCCGAAACAAGAATAATAATGCATCACAATTATAAAAGTATATTTTCAAATTTTCCTCCCAGCAGCGAAAAATTCAAAGAAAAATTCAACCAAATCAAATAATAATCAAATACATACACTCAAAAAAATCAAACCTGACAACACGACACCTTAAAAATACCAACATTTCAAAGAACAAAATTGAAATAAGAAATGGCAATGACAACAGCGTATAGGGCTGTCGTCCCCACGATCCACAATAATACCTCTTGACTTATTGGGTCACAAAGTCACAAGTGAAACTCAGACGGAATTACAAACAGGAGGGATGATTACCCTGTTTCCTCACATTCCTAAATCAACAGCCTTCATTGTTCCTGTCATAAAGGAAAAAAAACATACGAGGAAGGAGGTTGTTGCTTACAATATTTATTATCATAATTCTCTTTTATTTCTCAAAAGGATTGCTGAATGGTCTACGTTTTTTGTCAAGCGCGGTTGTCATTTTATAAAAATTGAATTGAATTTTAGATTAGGTAAGAAGATAATAAAACAAGGGGGAGGCCTTTGTCCAGCAGTGGACGTCTTTTGGCTAACGATGATAATGAAGACAATGTAATCTTAATAAAAATTAATATTAATTGACTATCGAGTTTAATGAAAACCTGTTGTTTATTCTCGACACGTATCATAATATAGGAAGTAGTAATATTACAACATAAAATGCACAGTTACGGGCTGTTTATAACCATAAAATTAGTATTAATGCCACTGGCTCTAGGTCCCTTTTTTGAACCCAAGGTGCTCTTAAAGCCAGGCAGCACAGGCTATAAAAATGTGTGTGATAAAAGTTTTGTTTTCTCATACAACGGCATCCGCACAATATTTCGCTACCGCTATTGACTTTCGGGATTGAAACAGTCCTTGCCCACAGCAGGAGAAGGACCAGGGTGAGTGTTAGTCAGTAAGAGTTTGACACTCTCTCTCGCCCCAGGCTGGGCGGGTCATTACGATTTTCACCCCTTTCAAAAAAAGGTACTTTAAAAATATTCATATATTATCATTGACAATTTTAATAAAGTCTATAGTTAAACTTCTGTATTATATTTCTAATGGTCTGTTAACATCGTTAAAACGAATTAGTCTTGAGAAGAAATAACAGGCTGGCGTACGTGATATTCGTGATTTTGTTTTAATATCATGAGTATTGAAAACTAAAGCTATTTCTAAACGCTGTAAAATAATAAGGTGTGAAGCGTCATATTTTATACACAGCAGACCATTATTTAGCAAGAAGACCGTTTTGTTAAAACCTTCTATAAGGGGAATTCTCAACTTAATATTATTCTTAATTTGATTTTTGAGTAGTCATAATTATTTTGCTATACGGTATAATAAATATACCTATTAAAAGATTATTCAATAATCAAATCAAGAATCAATGAAACCAAGCTTTTCACTTGATAAACAAAACAAATCAGAATTATTAATGAATAAACCAATCAGATCTCTTAACTGGCTATAAATTGCCATGCAGACCCAAAAGCACTTCATTAACTTAATTGATTTTGAACTAAATAACTTTCCATCAGGCAAAATTCGGAAGGACAATAATAGACCTAAATATTTTGAATACCAATACAAACAAATATTCTAATGTTCAGTTAAGGCCTTAAGTTATCCTTCTAGTGATAATAATAGGTCTTGTAATGTCCATTTGTTCATGGCTAGCAAGCTGTCGCTACTTGCCTACCCGATAAATTATATCTTGCTACCAACAGATTCTTGTTAAGTATGCTCCAGTCTACAATATTGAATTGGTAATGTTTAAAGTACAGGCAAACATGACATTACGCCCGCAATTTTTGATAAAAAAATCGGAAAAATCGCCATCGTCATTATACTATTGTAGTTTTCCCAAAATTTATTAACCACGTTACAATATACAACTCCTAATCATTTATCATGCTGTAATATAATTTAAACGCAGAGCAGGCAAAAAAAATTTAAAAATGCAGACGAAAATGTCGAAATCTGCTTTAAAATAGCAAAAAAGACCTTAAAACACCAGTGGCGCCATCTGCTATACAAAAAATTCTAAACAACTTTTAAACATGCTAGCTTCTGTTCAATCTGGGACGATGCTTACGCTACGGGCCTACGCTTGGGCTTTAATAATAGACCTATTCTTAGCCCCTCTCATTTAAAAACAGCCTCTGTATAAGGCGTACAAGGTAAGGCTTCAGGCTAGAAGAGCGTACGTGGTACGCCTACTAGAAAATGCTATTCATTCAAAATACTGGTCTACTGACCTATCGTGTTAAATTGAAGATCTTAACGGTAGGGATACAGTTTAAACCTACAGAAATAAAAATATATTTTTAGTTGTTTTTCTTGCATTTTTTCATGGAATTCTCTCTAGCAATGCCGTAGCCTCCGATTATAAAACAAAGCCGTGAACCGTAGCCATAGCCGTTAACTTGTAAAAAAACAAAAGCACTTAGTACGTTTATTTTAGAACACGTTTATATTTGAAAAAATGTGTGACTTGCCTCCTACAATTATAATAGTAAAACAAAGCTGACGAAACTTACGTATAGGTACCATTAATAAAATACATAATCATACGTCCAACAAATGCCCTATAAAAGAATGAAAAGCAATATTAAATATTTCAATCTTAATAAAAAGTTTATTCTATATTTGAATACCTCATTTCAGAAGAATTTACCTACAGCTACATAAAGTGCAAGGCCGCGCGCTTCTAGTAAAATGGGTGCTCTTGAAAAATGAACACAGTTCGTAAAGAATGCTATTCAGAATTTTATGTCTGAAAATGAAGTAAAATTTGAAATTCAGTACTAAAAGATGGTACTTTAATATCTATTCAGTTCTGTTTATCGTTTTAGGAATACATACTTAAATCCGTTATCTCCGGAATCCTAATCTTACAAGTACGCACTCGAATTCCTCGAATTACGTGTGTCAATGAGCGGACAATCAACCAGACACGAAAAAACATTTTGTGGATCACGGCATCACACACACCACGGAATCTAAGTCGCGACACGTTGCGCGGCAGCCGATTGCCTAGACATCGCGTCAACTGTGTAGTGAAAAGCAAGCTATTTTATTTAGGGCTGATTTTTCAATAGTCGGATAAATGTTATCTGAGGAATAATAATATACAAACATTTTGACGCGACAGCATCATAATTATTCCCCAGGTAACATTTATCTAACCATTGAAAAATCAGCTCTTAATAAAGAAATATTTTCAAATACCAGTGGTATTAGTTTTTGGTATTAGAATGGAATAAATCATCAAGAATAACAGTTACACTTCCTTCATTACCCAACTAAGATTGATGAAACTTATCAGCGACAACTTAAATCAATGACGTCACATTGCAAAATAAACATTACTTATCTTGTTTTACACAGATCTTTACGCAGTAACTCAAATTGTACGCGTTTTAGTCAAAGTTATCAATAAATATATCAACCAATAAACATAGCTGTCTCCGAAGGTGTAGTATCAGATTTTCCGTAGCATTATGTAGCAATAACGATAAATAAATAATATGTCAGTGTAGCAAGGAGCTGTGGTACAGTTCGCGTCGTTAGTTGAGTTTTGATATAAGTTTTGATATTTTTTTTATGTTCGGGAAAACTTTACTAGTGGGAGCCATGCTTCGGCACGAATGGGTCGGCTCGACCAGAATGATACCACGGCCTCACAGAAAAGCAGCGTGAAGTAACACTTACGTTGTCAATCGCCATGTGAGTGAGGTTAGCGCCGCGGGACAATTGTTACAGAGATCATGTCTTTATTTACATGTAGAACCAAACCAAATTTTATAACATAAATCAAATAATTTTATAATATCATTTAAATAAACCTGCTAAACCTGGACCTTTAGAATTGTGATCTCCAATGCTCCTAGCATGCGTTGAGGGTATGGGTAACTGGCTTTTTAGAGAAAGCTCAAAGTTACGTTAACGTTTAAGTTAAGCTGCGTTACGTATGGTAGCTCCAC